AACACAACATAACCTCACTTTATACAATTGCTTAACCCAACCTAACCTCACTTGTCCATTTTTTCTTATTCTGCAACTGTAGAGAAACTTTGTAAATAATTGGAAATGCAAATCAAAAGATAGAATCTTAAGCATTCTAATCCATGCCATTTATCTAATCCTATTCTATCTCCCGCTAACGCAACATAACCTCACTTACCCCAATCTAACCACACTTACCGCATTATCTTCTTCTTTGGCTGGTTTGCAGAAACGTTGGAAATGGTCCAAATGGTCGAATACTCTATTTCGGCACACACATGCACGGCACACCATGGCTAATTGGCGCCGTTTTTGGTTATTTCCTGCATGCGAATCGTGGCAAATCCTTCAAGCTGAACCGCATTGCCGTCTGGTCCGGCTGGGTGTCCGCCCTGGTCATATTCTTTCTGTGCGAATTTGTGCTGCTGCCATATGTTGAATGGACCGGTCCGGATTTGTCGCAGCTAAGCGATGCCCTCTACTATTCGCTAACCCGCATTGGCTGGCCCATCGGACTCTGCTGGGTGGTATTCGCCTGCATGCAGGGCTACGGCATGGCCGACAGCTTCCTCTCCAGCCCGCTGTGGCAGCCGCTGTCGAAGCTCTCCTATTCGGCCTACGTGTGGCACATTATGATACAGGAAATAAATGGGCGACGTGTCCAGACCAACACATACTTCTCCAACTACGAAATGGTAAGTGCTGCAGCGAGACTCAACCGTTCTGCTTGAGCCCAACTAAACGTTTCTGCACAGATGCTGAAAATCTGGGCGGACTTTGGCTTCACCCTGCTGACCGCCTATTTCATGTACATCATCATCGAGGGCCGCTGAGCGGCCTGGAGAGCCTGATGCTGCCCAGCCCAAAACCAGTTATCTCCGTCGAGTCCAAGCGGGCGGCAACCGCGGCACCAGCTCCACAGCTCGCCGAGAAGTCGCCCATTCCGCAGCCGGCGTCTGATCTGGAAGCGGGCCCGGCTGGCGCGTCGAGTGCGCCACCTGTGAGCACATAATCTTTGTATTAGTATAAATATTTAGGTTCTTTTTTTTTGTTTTTGTTATTTATATAATATTTATAAACTTATGCTCAAGTAGAAACTAAGCTAAACTAAACTTATTTAAATAATATATATTTAAACTATGAAACGAACTTGTTTTGTGGAATTAAGGGAATTTAGAATAAAGCGTGTGGTTCCGGGCTCGAACCACGCCGTCATATTTCGATTAGCTGTGCCAGCTGTTCCCTGAACTTGTCAGTCTAAACGCAAAGTCAAGTGGCCGGCAGCTGGCAGCTGGCAGAGGGCGGCCTTCGGCTCAAAGCCAGTCCGAAGACTATAAATCGCAATTAGCCTTACGGCAGCCGGCTGTGAATCAGTTTGGCGTTGTCAATCGTTTGGCTACTTGTGGGCCATTTGATAAGGTGCTATGATATTTTATTGTCCAATTCGAATGACTCGTAAATGTTTCATTCATGACACTATCTAAGTATAATCTAGCCGCCAAGCTTATCACAATTTTAAAACATTGCAATTATGCTGTACAGTTTTAATCAATATTTGAATAGTAACACTATAATAGAGTCACGCACTTGAGGGTCGACTCCAAAAAAACAAACTAAAAAATGCGTAAAAAGTTTTAAAAAGCGAGAATCTCTATCATAATAATCAATCAATCAATAGCCGAGCTGATCTGTCTCTAGATTTCAGGACTTTTAGAGCTAGAGACTTCACATTTTAACGTTACATATCATCGATAACTCACGCCCGTTTTCATATTATCGATACGTTTCAATATCAACATCTGCTCATCTCTCATTTATAGGATTCTAGCATATTCTGTGTTCTGGCAATTGTAAATCCCCAAAAGTTGCCCTTGTCCAGCATAAATTCTCAATTCTGGAGTATTAATTTCTAAAAGTTTCCATTTCAATAATAAATATTTTATATCCCAAAGTAGCCATTTACGAGCACTTAATAAAAATCTTCCAAAAACAACGAACTGATATTAAAAACTTAAATGTACTATCGCAAAAAGATGGCATACTTTTGGGCTTATAATTTGCTGGATTAACAATATTTACGATAATCTGATAAATAGAAATTGTGACGGGCTAAACTGCAATAGACTCTTCTATTGCTATCCTTATCGAATCAATGGTTAGCTCATCTGATTTTCGAATTTGAATCGTAATGGACGTCCACATTCAATAAACCAGATTTTATTGGAATATGAAAGTGATATCGTTTCGGCTCAGATCCGTAAAACAGCATTTAAGAGCATAAAACTACATTTGAAAATCTAACGGCCCATTTTCGAAGCGCTTTTGCAGCCCTGAACTCATAAGCTGCACTGCAGCCCTGCCAAGTTCGACTTTCGTTAGTTGTGTTATTGATCATATTAACCGTTAAAGATTATTGTTAAAATACTGCAAAATATATCTAAATAAATTACGAAGAGCTTAGCTTACTTAGGAATTAAATGAAACGTCTTGCTACCTAATTAATCGGCGCTGTTTTGGGCTCCAGCGCAGGCGCAATTTCAATGCAAGCTGGCTCCGGCTCGGCTCTGGGGCTCTTGACAGCTGGAGCAGGCTGGCTTCTGGGCGCGCGAGTGGGAAACAATAACATCTCCAGGCCGCCGAAAGGTGCCTCGACCAAGAGGAACATGAAATAGGCCAACAAAATGGTAAAGCCAAAGTCATGCCAGAAGCGCAACATCTGCAATAAAAAAAAAAACACAATTATAGATATATGGCAGAAGGCGCAACAGATGCGTAAGATAACGCACCACTTGATAGTCGCTGAAGTAGGTGCTGGTGCGCGTGATGCCGCCATTGAGAATCTCGATGAGTATGTGCCAGATGTAGGCGCCGTAGGAGAGCTTCGACAGCGGCTGCCACAGCGGGCTGGAGAGGAAGCTGTTGGCCAAACCGCCGTAGCCGTATTTGCAGGCGAACACCAGCCAAACGAGTGCCAGGGGCCAGGCAATCCGTGTTAGCGTCACGTAGAATGCCTCATTAACGATGGGCAAATGATTGCCGTTCGCCGGATATGGATAGAGCGCGAACAGGCAGGTAAAGATCAGGCCCAGGCTGATGAGCCAGCCTAGCCAGACGGTTTAGACGATTCAGCTTAAAGGTTTTGCCGCGATTCACATGCAAATAATAGCCAAAGATAAGGCCAATTATCCAGGGCGAGGCGCGTGTGTGCGTTGTAAAGTATATTTCATCGGACATGCCCCCAGAAGATCTATAATAAATACAAACGTCTTAAAATGTAAGAACACTGTAAGAATTTAGTGGCAACGCTGTCAATTTAACATTAGCCTGTAAATTGCAAGCAGCGTTGCCATTTGCGCGCAGCACTGCAATTCTAGCAGGTCACAATTCAAATTGCAAACTAATTAACAGCTGTCAGCTGAAAAAGTAAGACAAGCAGGCAACACTGCAAACATTTGCAACCGCCTGGCAAATATTTAAAACAATTGACATGAACATGATAAGTAATTATCGAAGCTCGACAACGCGAGCAGTGTTGCCAGTGTTGTTAAAGTAATACAAATTGGCAGCACTGTTATTGCTAACTTGAACTGCCCTTTAGGCTAGATACTTACAAGCTGTAGCCCCTGACTACCATCATGCTGAAGAGGCATGCAGCCAACAGCAGCATGAGCACCACAATGCCGGCAATGGCCTTTTTGCCCACTTGTAGAGCGCAATCAGCAACAGGGGCGATATGATATACAGCTGCATGTCCACGCCCAGATACCAGCTGTGGGGCAGGCACTGCAATGGCAAAGATAACACTTAGTTTGACTTTATAGATTAACATTGAACTTTGTCACCTACCACAGTGTTGGTGGCATAGTTTTGCACATAGAGCAGGGTCCAGAACCAGTTGTCCTCGCAGGGCGCCGAGAGTTGACTAACCAGGCCCTTATAGAGCGGACCGGCGCCCAGGAGGGGCAGGATTCTCATGTAGCACAGTATTGCGAAGGCGACGACAGGCGTGAGGCGCAGATAACGATGCAGATACATTAGCGGCACATTCAGCTTGCCCTTGGTTCTGAAAGAGAGCCAAGTGAGGTTAGGTGCTTCCAACAATTTCTTCTTAATGTATAAATTATTAATTACAGCTATTATTATGTTAATTTGAAATTAAAGAAATATATTCCTTTAAAATAAATCAATCATCTTTCGAACTTCTACGCCGAAGCCAGATAACGTATTAGATCGAATCCTAAATGGAATCTTTTATAATTCGGGGATTTCCCTTGAATTCTTTGTAATTCGGGGAATTTCCCTGACTGGAATATGTGTATATGACATAGTTAATTCGTTAATAAAGAATTCAAGAAATATATTTTTTAAATAAATCGAATAAATAAGTAAATCGAACCCTGAACCGAATTCTTTTTCAATTCGGGGGATTTCCCCTACCTAAACCAGACATCCCATTAAATCGAACCCTGGACCGAAATAATTTTCAATTCGCGGAATTTCCTATATATGAGATGACAGATAGTTACCTTTCCATGGAGCGCAGAGCAACCATAACGACAAGCAGGCCGCTGAGGAAGAAGAAGGTGTCCACGGAGAAGAGGCCATGGATAATGAACATGCTGAAGGGCGATCGATACCACTGGAGAGGATATGGAAATGCAGATTAGTTAGGCCAATGGGCAATAGCTGTGATTGCGTCCGAACTAACCGGTATGACATCCACCAGATTAATATTGGGCGATAGGCCTTGAATGATATAGTCATGGCCGTAAATCACCCAGATAAGCGAGAGGCAGCGTATGCCGTGCAGACAGTCGATGACATTCGGATTCGTTTTGCTGTCCACAATGCGGAAGAGCGCGCGCGAATTGGCACGTGCCGAAAACACCTTGACCAAGGCGGGCAAATGCTCTGCAAGGAGATCGTCTCGATCAGACACAGCAGCAGCGGGGATTATGCTTAGCTACTTACTCTGATCCGCGCACAGGAAGTAATCGTAGAGCGTGGCCAGCAGCAGGCAGCGACCAAGACACACATGAGCACGCTGTAAGTACATATGCATTAGCTGGCTGGATGAATGGATGCAGTGCAGCATTGGCAATACTTACATGGTAAATATGGCCAGACCATCGAGCGACTCACGCTCCGCGGTCTGGCAGCTGGCGGCATTGATCAGCTGCGTGTCGGTGCTCAGTTCAATGTTGAGCAGCTGCTTGAAAAGCTGTCGGAGCAGCGTCTCCATGTGCTCGCCCGTGCAGCTGGCGGGCAGGCAAATCGCCGTCTGCACGCCCAGCATGCCCAGGGCGCCGGCATTGCCGGCCAACATGTTGCCGGACAACAATTTGGCCATGCAGTATTTGCCGCGCAGACTGTGGCCCGTGCTTGCCACCAGCTGATTCACCCTGATGCACTCATCAAAGTTGCCCAGATCCTTTAGATTGCCATAGAGCATGCCCGCGGGCAAACGGCCCCAAGAGTCGATCACTAAATGAGGGAGAGAGGAAGAGAGGTAGCGAGTTACAGTTAGGCAGTTACGCGCGCAACCGAATGCCACTTACTGCGCAGCGGCCCAAATGCTGCCCGTTTGCACGCCCTGGCTGAGCGTTGCCACCTCGGCCAAGCACTGCAGATCCTGTTGATTGGGCAGCCCTGTGCCGGGTATCAACAGATCGCCGCTCGTTATGTTTCGATAATAATCGATAAACTCGACCGCCAAAGGGCGCAACTGCATCAGCCGCTGATAACGATCAATGTCCAGGGACTCGCCGCCGGCGGCCGCCAGGATGCACAGCAAAAGCGCAAAGCCAATTTTATACATTTTCCACGGCAATTGCAGCGGTCTTCAATCGGATTTGAATGCGCTGCGTTGCCTTTTATACGTTACGCGCAAAACCGCGATAAGATTTAGCTGGATCTGCTTGCGACTTAACAATATTCGTCAGAACCTAATCAATAATTGGCCATTGATTAGACCGCGGCGACAGACAGCACTCGCCCGGCCTCGTCGTGCCGCCCGATTTGAAAACCGACGCGTGAATCGCGAACCGCGAACCGTAAATCGCTGACTAATTATTAAGCAGCAGCCAGTCAGTGTCCAGGGGCATTCTCTTCGTCATATCAGCAGCAGGTTCAAGGTGCCAACCAGATGGGCTTTACCCTGATCTCTTGGCTACACCTGTTCGCTGGTGCGTATGTACTCGACGCTACCAGATGAAGGTAACGTTCTTTCACGTGAAAACATGTATCAAATGTCCTATGCTAATTGATTGATTGACTGACGACTTGACGGATTGATGGAAACTTTCACTTTCGCTTACACTTTTATCGTAGGTAGGAGACTTTAAAACTTCACCTAAAAGTTCTTTCAAGCAAGACAGTTTTGAGAAGGATTTCACCTCTTCTGGCCAATCCACCTGCCTTGGTGAAAGTTGCGGTTAAAGGTTGATCGAGTGGAAGCTTAGAGGCTGTAGAAAATCTACCTAATAATCGAAAAGTAAAGCTTGAGCTAATGTTAAGTTCAAGACTTGAACCGAGCAAAGCAAATAATTGTATTACATATACTTTGATAGTTAAATATTTAAAGAAAAGGAAGCCAAATATAGGCCATCATCGTGATGTGCCCACGTATCGGCTAATGCAATCTAATCCGGTACTTAAAAGTTGTCTGGATGATTGAAATCAAAGTTTATTGGCCCAATAACAATACGTCTGCTGTGCATTGAGATATTCTGATCCGAAGTCCAATCGACCTTTGAAACTGGAAAGCATAACCTAACCTAACTTTATATTTATACCGTTATTATGTGTTTTATTATCAGAGTTACAAGTTCGATATTTATTTTTGTTTTGTATTGTTTAGGGAATTTGGATACATTAATCGGACTGACCCATAAAATTATGACATGCTCAGCCTTGGCTATCTAATCGAATGTCAGATTGGGCTGCACGTGTTTCTAAGAAACATTTTCGCATAAACAAAAGCAATTCCAAATAACTCAAATTAGAAGTGCCAAATGATCGATATGTCATCGCACGATGATTCATTCGAATTCGTAAACAATATTTACTAATAATAAGTAAAATAAAATACAATTTTACACAAATCGGCTAATCTAATCGACGAGCACGATTTCAAGCAAGGCCATGAAAGAAATAAGAGCAGAAACGTGCAATATTTAAAGAGAAGTCAGTTATAAAGAAATCCATATCTAAATTAATTGGCTACTTAGTAGTTGCTTTGCTGATAAACTATTTTCGGGCAGTTTGTTGTTGTTGAAGCTGTCGCACAGAGCTTCGTGGTAACTGTACAGTCAGTTGATAAACTTATGTTGTAAACTCGACTATCGCTGGTTAAAGCCGATCATAAACAATATTGTTGGCATTTTATTGATTAGTGTGAAATTCATAATGTAATAAAAACTCACGAATTTTACCTTATGCAACGCGACCCACAAGTGCGAAAAATTGCGGAAAACTATTTTCATCTGACTTACATTCAATTTCAAAACTCTTTGTGTAACTTCTCCAAAGATATATAAAGTTTAGTCCAAAGTTGTAGTGTTAAAAATAGGCACGGCTAAAATTGTGGCTAAATTTAAATTTGAAAAGCCCGCGCCAAGATATCATAGTATAATAACAGTTATCGATAGCTGCGTGAATCGATAAAATCAATCCAAATTCAATATTTTCAGGGTAGTTTTTTTTTACAGCTAGAACAGCAAAGCTATGTCAATAGTGACGTCATCTTGTTATGTCAATCATATTTTGGCTGAAAACACACAGAAAAGTTTACTGCTTACAGTTGTTATGTTCGCAGTTTATTAAGCTTATATCTCCAAATGTAAACATTTCTATTTATTAATATATATATAGAGCGTGATATATGAGTGACCATTCTGCTGGCCACTAAGCAACTCTGCAGCTACCATTCGCGTGTACACGCTCCGTGCAGCTCTGTGTGTATTGCGAAAAGAAGAAGAATATGAGAGCTGACAGCTGTCAACTCGCTTTTCCTTTCTTTCCGGTCTCTGCTCCATAGAAGACGCAAAGTACGTGAAATATATAAAAAGAATCTGTAAAATAATTGCGAATCCGCCAAAGTGTTTAGCTAAATGAAATTGCAGTGAATGCGCTGTGAAACGCAACAGCTGTCAATATACGTGTTATGTGCATATTTATTAAAGTTTGCCATTTATTTTGACATTTAAATGTCGCACAGCGTCTTGTCAACAAGACCCGAACAAACCGAACCACCACAACAACAACAACAACACAAGTTCTAATAAGTTTATATATTTTTTTTTATCTTTTTGTTTTCGTTACGTGCAGCATGTTCATGCCAAAGGCTCATCGTGTCGCCATTTATGAGTACCTCTTCAAGGAGGGCGTCATTGTGGCCAAAAAGGATTTCCATGCACAGAAGCATCCCGAACTGGAGTCGATCCCCAATTTGCATGTCATCAAGGCACTGCAATCTCTGCACTCGCGCGGTCTCGTCAAGGAGCAGTTCGCATGGAGGCACTACTACTGGTATCTGACCAACGAGGGCATTGAGGAGCTGCGCAGCTATCTGCATTTGCCGCCCGAAATTGTGCCCTCCACTCTGAAGCGGCCGACACGCTCGGAACCGTTGCGTCCACGCCCAGCGGCTGGTGGACCACGCGGCCCAGCCGATGCCTCCAAACGGGCGAAGATCGTTCTGCCTACAGACGCGCACCCGGCGGCAGCGGTGTGGACAAGAAGGGCGATGTCGGACCCGGCGCCGGTGAGGTCGAGTTCCGTGGCGGCTTTGGACGTGGCTCGCGCAACTAGACAGCGTTTTTTTTTATTCAACTTAAATTTAAACGAGTTCCCAACTCTGGAACTAACCCAACAACAACAACAAAAAACTAAGAAAAAACAAACAAAATTGTGTGAATGTTTTGTATTATGAAGCAGAAGATTGCAGCAATGCAATACGACAAATTATAAAGCAAGCGCAAAGTGAAACAAGAATTTTATTCGTCTCTTTCTTTTTTTTTAATATTTTTTTTTTCTGCAAAAGTTTACGCGCGCTTTTCTCGCTGAGATGCGCAGCTCTAAAGCTGGCCGAATCGTATGTACAGTGGACGCTCGCAAAGGCGAACACGCCTTGCTGCAATTAATTTGGAAGAAACGACCAGTCGAGTCGTTTTAGCCATGTTTGACTGTATATTTGTCAAGTAGTCTCTGCCTTAAGGCTTTCTTAGGATCTGGAACTCAGCAAGGAGTTGGCTCTAATCCCATTGGAGAGCGACCATTGCAATTGTTATTACTGTAGGATATATTTAAAAGATATCCATTTACATTACATTAAAAAATCACATTGGCTACAGTGGAACGTCCGAGGATTTGAACCCGAATGCTCTACTCTTTTGTATAATGCGTCTTGATCTTGAGGATAATGCATAAACGATATAGGAAGAAAATAACTCACCTTTAGAGCGAAGATGAGAAGAGTAGAGTGAAGGCTGCCTTGAACGCTCACGCCTGGTTCTCCAGTTGCTTTGTTCCGACGGAAGTCCTCTCCAATGATGCGAGAAATCCTTGTCCTTATTCAAACATATATATCTAGGCATATTTATGATAAACTTAATGTCAGATTTGGATGAAAAGCAGCAGAAAGGTTTTTTTCACATTTATATTTGAAGGTATTACAAAGATTAATTTCAGATATTCAGTTATTTTATATCAATAAATAAAGGTATATATATATATATATAAATTGCAAATTGTCGAAAACTTTTGGCCAAATGGATGATGGATGATAACCAGGTTAGCCGCAGCTTTAAACAGTTCGCTGTAATCTTTATTAAAGTTTATACGTAATTATAGGAATCTTTTCAAGACTTGCCCAGAGCGGGGGGAATTCCAGCTTTGAATGTCGAGAGAAGGGCGAACTTAATGCAATTAGTTCCCAGGAAATTCGATGCTCGATAAACAATAAACAAAATGCCAGCAGAAAGAGCAAAAAAATAAAGAAAAAATCATAATATTTAGCTGACTGTTGGGCGTTTTTTTTTTTTTTTTTTTTTTTTTTTATGATACGAAATCGAGCCCGAAAGCCTTTCCAAATATTTGCACAGCCATTGGAAACCGGAGCGGAGCGTAAACAAATGGAAGAATTTCGCCTGGGGCTGGCTTACCAAGAAGCACAGCTGCGCACGGACTGGAAAACTAAAGCAATTTCTCAATTATATACAATTTGTTTAAATAAAATGTACACTTAAGCTAAAGCGTAAATGGTATATCATTTAAATATATATATATATATATGCGGCATATTCTTGATATATGTGGACTATCGTCGCTTTATGCAGATTTTGCCCTTGGCCAAATGCGACATGTTGATCTTGAATTTGCTTTCATTGGAGCGCTTGACCCAAATCTGTGAAGAGAGATGAAAAACGAGATTAATATCAAACCAATGCCAAACCAAGCTGTCGTCAGAAATATTTCAATAGGCTCAGTTTTGTGGGAAGTGAGGATTAGGGTAAGGTATAGACAGATAAACCTTGTAGAGCTGTGTCTTAATCTTGGCTCCAAGTTAAGCTCAAGCGAAATTTGCCGTTTGGAAACGGAGCAAGTTATCAAAGATTGATTTGCCTGGGCACAGGAAGAAGCAACGTGTCTAATTCTCTGTGCTGGAGACTGACTGAGAGCCTGAATGGAGTGGGAAAGGTCGGACGAGTTCATTCTGACTGTCAGCTGCTGGGCACAGGCTGTAAGCAGGCTGAGAGATTGGTTGGAAAATACGCACCACCTCGTTGCCAATGGCTGTGATGGTGGCCGCAAACTTGTTCATGTCCTTGCCCTCAACATAGATCTGCTGGCCGCGACAGAACCAGCGGCGCTCGTAGAGCAGCTTGTTGTCCTCGATGCGTGTCTCCACATAGCTATTCGACTCGGCCAGCAGGTTGTGTGCCTGCTGCTGCTGCTGTTGCTGCTGCTGGGTATTCGTGTAGGAGCCCATGCCGTTCTGTTGCAGCGGCATCGGTTTGCCGCGCTGTATCATCTTGAGATCCGATTCGATTTCCTTGTCATCCAGCTGGTAGACCAACAGCTGGCCGGTGGCGGGCTTCCGTCGCTTTCGATCACCGGCAGCGGCTCGTTGGGCCGACGACGCAGCTTGCGCGTCACCGTTGTCTTGATCTCCATCGAATCGTTGGTCAGCTCCAAGCTGTAGCGTTCGTTCTCAATCTGACGCTTGCGATCCTCAAAGTCTGCTATTAGATTATCCTTGAGATCCATCATCTTCTCATCGAACTCCTTTTGGGCAGCCTTCTTCTCCAGTATATAGTCGCGCTCGACGCATTCGCGCATATAATCCTTGTAGATCTCGTTCAGACGTCGACGCTCCTTTAGCTGATTGTCCAGCTTGCGTACACGCTTCATATATTCCGGATGTATCAGCTGATTCAGCTCCTCCAGCTGCTTCTGCAGATTAATTAGCTTGTGCTGGTACATTCTGCAAAACAAAAAAGAGAATATCAATTGAAATGAAAATGTTTGGCTAGCTTTTCTTTTATATACAACTTACTGTTCCTTAAGCTCGCTGTTGCTGCCAATGTTGTTGTGGTTGTTGTTGCTGTTGATGATGATGTTGTTGTTGTTGTTATTGTTGTTGTTGTGGCTACTGATGATGATGTTGTTGTTGTTGTTGTTGCTGTTGTTGGAAGAGTTGCCGTTGGTTCCGCCATAGCGATGGGGACTGCGGAACTCCGTTTCGCTAGCGTCGTCAGTATCTGGAATTGTGAAACGTTCCATGGTTGAGAGTCGACTGCGTTTAGATTAGATATTTGGCGGACTGGCGGCCGACTTGAGCACTTGCCACCTCCGCGGCGGCAGCCAGCACCTCGTTTGCGCTTACCTTCTTCGCTGCGTTCATCTCCAATCGACTCGTCGTCGTAGTTGTCGCCCGAGTACAGCGTGTAGTAGGCGTTCATTTTGCTCAGTGTATACGACAGCTTAACTGGCAGGCAATTAACACTTTTATGCTTAAAATTTTTCAGTTTTTTAGTAATTTTATTGCAATTGTTTATATTTGTTGCGCTGATAATGTACATACACACACAAACGCAGGGCAGACAGCTAAAAAGTGTTGCACAGTGCAAAATGCACAGCGTTGCTGCGATTTAATCGATAATTGTTAACATGTTTTACAACACTTAATACGTGACACGTTAATTTAATGCAATGTGCAGTGTGACCAGCTATATATTTTTATTTAAATTGGGGCGCTGTCGTTAGATTTGAATTTACGTTAGTCGAAATGATTAAATAATTAAAGTGCCAAACGAACGATTTCGAAGGCACCAAATAAGTTTAATCGAATAAAACAAAATGCAAATAGCAATAGTATAACAGCATTAACACGTGCACTTAAGAACTTACCCTCTAAAAAACTGAAGATAAACAATGATCGAGAACATTCTACATAACATTTATATGTATATATTTATATATATATATTAATATATTGTGTGATTCATTCTATATTATTATGAATGAATATACGACAGATCAAAAGATATAATGTTTCTACCCACAATTAAGAGCGCCCACATTTTTATACATATATAGTTTTTAGTGCTCATTTGTTTCATTTCGAAATATTTCAATGCGCATAAGGAATGTTTGAAGTTATGACAACACAAATATGCCAACATCTGTACACACATAGATATTACATATTATTGTCGAAACACTTTTAGTTTTGCTTGCCAAATGCTCATGCTTTGCCCCAGCCCCTTTCCCTGTCCCCGTCCGAGTCTTGTCCGCCTTGTGCGCTGACACATACGTATGAAAACGCTGTCGTCAAGCGTTGACGCCCACGCATAAGATCCATTTGCCTTAGTTGAATAATTGGCGTATTATACATCAGCCAAAAATTCCATGCTAAATCATCGCGAGCGAATTTTGATTGATTTGCAGTTGTCCCGGCAAAATTGTGCTTAAATACCTATGCTTGTGTATGTATAACGGCCCACAGTCAAATCTCGACTAACGAACCAGTGTTGGGTAACCGATTTTCTCCCAACCCATGAAAAAGAGTACCGTTAGATTTGATTCGTTTGCACAAGAGATCAATTTTTGTTAGCAGCATAGAGAATCTAGGGTTTACCCAAGGCAGATTTTACTGTATTTAAGTATATTCATAAATCTATATGAGACAGATGCAGATGAACATTCTCGACGATGCTATGGGAAATTTGTTTTTCTTAATTTCAACGTTAGTCGCTTTTTGCGCTTCGCATATTGCCAATGCACACACACACATCATTTATATATATGTGTGCGTTAATGCGAGTAGCACAGTCTTAGCCGAGATCGAGATCTTTGTCGCCTTCAAGGTCGACAATTTGGATGAAAATGAGTTTATTGTTTGGACAGAGCGGCATAAACGGCCGCGCCGCAGCATCCAATCCATGTGGGCGCTGCCAAGATGATTGTTATTTTATTTTTGTAATTCATGATTGAATTTATTTTATTAGCCATATTTTGTTCGACTTGTTTTTTTGTATTGCTCCTTGATTCGTGACAACTGCTAAAATATTTCAAAATAATGTGCATAATTGCGCCCTGAGGCTGATGACTCCTGCGCAACGTTGCCACACCGTAAAAGGACAAGCCCGATATCGTTCGATATGTATGGCGCATGCGATGCTGCTGCACAATGTCATCGATTACTCATCGCGGTTTCCATTTGTTTACAAACAAATCGAAACGCTGCGCGACACACACAAATATTAATCGAAATCTGTCTCCAAAGTTGCCTCCAACTTGTTCTGTGTGAAACACAAAAACTCACTCACGCACACACACACACACACACACACACACACACACACAGACGCATGTATTTAGAACGTAAACCACATAGCTGGAAGTTACAAAGTGGCTCAAAATGTGTCGTTCTTTGCCCTAAAACGGCAAGCGTCAGTTAAGCTTTAAACCGGTTGACATTGCCGTTACCGGTTACACTTCCACCCACAATGTGATCTGTGCGCAAAAGAGACAACTGCCAATGGCGGCAACAGTCACATAACTGTTTGTCTATTTTTAGCCGCTTGCGGCTATTCGATTTGTTTATAATACATATGTACATATATAAATATATTATTATTTCTTTTTTTTTTTTTTTGGTTTTTGGAAATGCATGTTCATTAATTTAATGTCATGTTCACATTTTTAACTAACTACCTAATTGCTTTTGATTATAAAAAATGTTTAACATAAGCAAAAATTCCAAAAAAATAAACAGTTTTAGTAAAATATATACAAACAATCATGAACGAAAAAAGAGTCCTGTCTTTGGCAGAAACTTATCTAACATTGAGGTGCAGTGCGCCTATAGAATACCCTTCCTTATCTACATATACTGTGAAAGTTGTTACATAAGTTACCAATGTATATGCATGACGGATAGGATTATAAAGATATATAAATTAAGAATATTTGCATTTTACCTTAGTGATAAATATATATATGGCTGCTATTGGCGCTTGCAAACCTGCCCCAAGAGTACGTATTAGTAGAAGATCGTCACAAAATGCATGACTAAACCGTCACAGACTTCAAGGTAGGGCACTCACGAGAGTAACACTTGAAACTGTTTTACCTCACACCACACTTGCAGGCCCACTCACGCTCGCACATCGCAAGTCATTCACTTGCTTTTTGCCGGCCTGAGAGAGCGAGCGCTGTGGATGGAGAGAGCAAGTCGTGTCAGTGTGTGGGTGCAAGTGCGGCCACTCGCTGCCATCTTGGCTTCACAACGCGCGCTCTCTCTCTTCCTTTTCACTCACTGCTGTTCTCTTGTGGTTGCGGCCGCGGTGTAGCGCCGCGCTATAAAAGCGTCCACACGCCGAAAATGCAAAACAGTCAAACAGAAATCTTTGAAACGCGTTGAATTGTGCGACACGAGTCAATCAAATACACACACATATATATACAAAATAATACATAAAAAGAATACATTGTGATTTTTTTTGGTTCTGATTAGAAAGTGAATATATATATAAACGCACACACAAGCACAAGCTGACCAAGTCCAATTGGAACAAACACAAGAAAACAGCGGTGCGCGTGAAAACAACCCGAAGCAAAAAGCAGAAGCAGCGGCAGCAGCAAGCGCAAGAAGTTTTTTTAGATTTATCTAACACACACACACACACACAAACACAAACAAAAAAACAAAAATGGCCGAGTCTAATAAGAGAAATATTCCCATCAAATTGGGCGACTTCAGCGTTATCGATACGGAATTCAGCAGCATACGTGAACGCTTCGATTCCGAGATGCGTAAAATGGAGGAGGAGATGGCCAAGTTCCGTCACGAGCTGATGAACCGCGAGGCCAATTTCTTCGAGTCCACCAGGTAGGTGTCCAATTAGCAAATGTGCTGTCCAATCGGAATTATTTTATATGTAGCTCTTTGAGCGTGTTCTTAAATGTGTGCGTGTGTGTGTGTGTGAGAATGTGCTTGGATCTTGTTAACATTGTTTCTAGGCAGGTTACTCAGCAATGGTTATCTAGATAATGTTCAGGTCTGAGTATTTCTCAGATCTTCTTGATCTTCTTTTCGTATTAAAAGATTTACGCACGAATTTGGCCTCAGCTTAAGATACAACGTTAATACATAACTGTAGATAAAAGAGTGTTGGCTAACGTTTAAACTTTAAACATTTGGCGGCACAGCCTTCAATGTTTTTTGTTCTTGGCCGTAATTTGCAAAGAATTTTCCAGAGCAAATGCTGAAGGCAAGAGAAATATAAATTTATATTTATACTCAATTATCGACAGCTTTAAAAATAGATCAAAAACCTATTTCAAACAGATATCTATTAATATTTTTACTGTCAAGTGAAAAATTTCCGAAGAAACAACAAGAGGGCAGATTATATCGAATTATACCAGATAATGAAAACGATACTCAACTCTAGTTTTCATGGGAACGTTACGTGCTGTTTAGGATATCCCGAAATTTCCATCTAATAATAGGCATGCCATGGCTAGCAACATCATCTTCGTCATCATCATCATCATCATCATCATCATCATCTTCATCATCATCATTATTATCATTGGCACCGACAGAATGGCTGGATTACGTACGGGTTCTAAGGCCAAAACACATCGCTGAATGCCCCAGATACTCGCACACATTTTCTTGCCTGAGCAAATTGTTTTTTGGGGGGAATGAGTCACATTGGTTTTTCACGCCGAAACCACCCTTCCCCCACCCCCCTCCCTCCCCCCTGGCTCTCTTCCAACACGGCTACTAAATATATATGTCTACATAGTATGCATACGTTTTCCATTTGTCTTGCCATTTTCTTGGGGCACCCTCCCCGCGCCACTTGCGCATATTTCAAAATTGCTAAATATTTTCGAGTCCGTTTTTTTTTTTGTTCACTTGATCAATTTTCGGCTGTTTTGTCAGCAGAAAGATATGTGTACATATTTATAAATATGTGTGTATTTGTTGTTGTCTCAGAATGCAAATCTGCCTTGTAACGGTAACCCATGGTTGCATTTAGAGAAAGAAAGATGGGCAACATATAACAGATTTTAGCACACGTTATGAAATGTGGCGTAACGGAATTTTTTTTTCTTCGTGCAGCCTCAAAAATCTGGCATACTTGCCAGATACACGCATACACACACACACACGCGCATGTAGACGTGAATATATAATTCAAATATTTACTAAATAAATAGACAATGTGAAGGCGGCCGTTAAAATTTGAAAGAAAACAAAAATATGTATGTACTAAGCACAGCACACACATAGTGTGTACACACTTAGACGCACACATATACACACACTTATACACGCATGTCTGCCACTGTGAAGAGCAAAATGACGTAGCCACTGTCGCCGTCGCGGTTGCGCCTCGCTGGCCTTTCCAATCTGTTTGCGGCGGCGGCGACGGCGGTCGCGTCGCGTGGGCGCCACTTGAGGGCGAATTCGAAAATCATTCGCCGCGAGTGGTTTTCAGTGCCTTTTAACACAGCTTCGGCCATGGGCAATGACATAATCGAAGCGATTTGTTGTTGCTCTCTGTTTTGTTGTCTTCCTTCAGTGCATTTGCATGCGCAGCAGCAGCAACAGAAACTCAACGAAACTTTCTAAGCAAAAAGTTTAGGATAGTTCAATTTACCGTTATATTGCGTGCAAAACAAAAGTTTTGTCAAACTGCAATTAAACAAAAATTTTCGTTTGTTTATTATGTTTCGATGGGCACCAAAAAAGCCATGGCAATGCAACCGAATGGTTGGTTGCAAAGCTCTTGACACTGTCCAAATGTCGCTCCATGTGTGGGCCATTAGAGATGGGGGGGCGGTTGGGGTGCTCGAAGCGATGACTCAATTCGTCAATTTGCTATCGAATATTGGTCGTGCCTGGGCCCTCTCGTAGGGCCCTGTTAGCTGAAATTAAATGAAATAGAAAATATATAATGAATTGTTTGGCGGCTGTTTAAAAATAACCGATCACGTCATCGTCATCTGGCTCGACAAACCTAAACAAAAGGCAACTAATTGATTTTTTTTTTTCTTCCAGTATTGCCATAGTCAATGCGCATGCACTACATAAAGACACATTTACACACATACATATGTAAATGCATATGTGTATATGTATGTCTGTGTGTTTACACGATCCTGGGATAGCATGTAAATTCGATTTATTTACTCGCACAGTTTTGATTAGGCTTAAATGGTACTTGGCTAAATTGAAACTGTCGTTGCCTTATTGTTTGATTTTCTATACGATTCCAGGGCGATTTATCGCCCAACAAACAACCAATTTGTGTAGCAATTCTATTGCGGCCGATCTGCCAATTACATATATAGTGTATATCGACTATGCAGTCGGGCTGTACAAAAAAAATAACGTGGTTGACGGGCGGACGATTAGACACGTTTGTTTATGCAAATAATAAATAGAAAACATGTCTCGACCGCAACATTTCTAAATATGTACAGTATGTCAATAAAGTGTTTTGACTAACGAAAAAAAACTAATTTTTTGGGTTTAGTTGAAAATAAATGTACCTAAAAGTGAGAATTTTTTTTCAATTCTAATTTATTTCGATTCTATATTTTTCCTAGAACTTAATGGCAAAAAGAATTGTTAAATAACATTACCCAAACATTTTATAAAATTAAAAAACTAAAAACATTCAAATTTTATGCTGTCAATAAAGTGTTTTTACACGAAACTTTATTACTAAATAACAATGTTAAAAAAACAGGAATATTTTTTTTTAATACTTTGTGTGGCTGCCATTAGCGTCACATACAGCCTGCAATCGCCGTTTCATTGAAACAATAAGGTTTTGTATGTATGTTTCTGGAATCTTCTGCCATTCTTCCAGTACAGCAGCTTTTAAATCAGTTTTTGATTTTGGACTCCGCTTTGCGACTTTTTTTTTCAAATATGACCACACAAACATCTATTGGATTCATATCTGGACTTTGTGGTGGAGTGTCTAACACCTTTCCACAGTTGTACAACAGCCAAACTCTTACCATATGAGCTTTATGCTTCGGGTCATTGTCCTGGTAAAATTTAAAAATTGGCTTATTGTCCTCATAGAATCCAAATTTCTGTGCACTACTGACGAGATGTGTCTGTAAAATGCTCAGATATTGTCTAGCATCCATGGTATTCTCAATGAAGGTCAAATCTCCTACACCCTTGCTCGAAATACACCCCCACACCATCACTGATAGTTTTCCGAATTTAACGGTTGGAATAATATTGCGGTTTTCCAACGCTGTTAGTGGCTTTCTCCAGACTCTGGATGGCCCATCGTTGTAGAATAGCATCATCTTGCTTTCGTCACAGAATATGACGTTACTCCAAAAATCGTTCGAACTATTTACATGGACTTGAGCGAACGATAGCCGCTTCAAAATATTCGCCGCCGATAGTAGAGGTTTTTTCCTGGCAACTCGTGATGTGTAGTCATTGGAATTCAGTAATTTTCGGACAGTTTCATGTGACACATCAACACCACTTTCTTCCTTGAACTCCTGAGCAATATCCCTAAGCGAAATTTGTGGATTTTTCTCAATTTTTCTCAGAATTTTTCGCTTATCTCTGTCAGAAATTTTGCAGGGTCGACCACATACTGGCTTTGCCTCTAGCCTATCTTCCTTATTGGCTCTGTTTAATATGTTGTATATCGTTGCTTTTGATAAATTAAACATATCAGCCAGTTCCGAGACTTGACGTCCCATCTGATGGTTATAATACACCAGCTGAGCGACTTCAAAAGTTGTTCTTTTTCCTGGCATTTTATTTTTCATAAAATTAAAGCAAAACGTTATAAATTGCAATAGAAAATGACAAGAAAAGTCGAAGACACAAGAGAAGCCAAAACGCATGGGCCCAAATCTAACGGGATCACCCAAAAGAGAACGGCAAAACAATTTACCGTAGCTGTAAAAACACTTTATTGACAGCATAAAATGTGAATGTTTTTAGTTTTTTAATTTTATAAAATGTTTGGGTAATGTTATTTAACAATTCTTTTTGCCATTAAGTTCTAGGAGAAATATAGAATCGAAATAAATTATAATTGAAAAAAAATTCTCACTTTTAGGTACATTTATTTTCAACTAAACCCAAAAAATTAGTTTTTTTTTGTTAGTAAAAACACTTTATTGACATACTGTACATACATATATATATATCTCTTTATTACAATAACAACTTTCCTCTTGAAAAGCTCTACTAAAAAAACAACAACTACAACCAGGTATTATGCTCTATGAAAATGACAATGATTTTTTTATGGAAATTCGTTTTGTGTACAATCTTCAGTTATTTATTTATATTTTGTTTACATATATGTGCATATGTATGTGTTATTTTGTAGACTTTAAAAATCAATATATTGCAACATTGTTAATAATATATGTATACATGAGTGCACATGTGTTGGTAAACACTTACTTATTTTTTATGTACTTTGTGCACACTGTGTTGACTGACAGATTCGTGTGTTGTCACTTAAAAAACAGTTTAACAAATTCATTTTTGAAAACTATGCACACGCACACACGCACATTATATAAATACACACATTGTATGTGAAATATTTGGCAGGTGTTTCAGAATTTATTTATTGCTTCGTTCTTCAAAAGTTCAATCAACTTTGAATAGTTTCTGTTGCGTAATGCCAAACATTCAACTTTTCCAGCACTATAAAAAAATCAATTATTTCTAATATCCCCCTCTCTCATTCTCTCTCTCTCTCTCGTTCTCTCCCGACCTCAAAAATCTTGGCACCTTTGCCAAATAAGTGTGTTCTTCAAGTAGAAAATTTGCTGAAATGGTATCTGGATCGATTTATATAATGTAGACTTATGAACAGGATTCTCTTTAAAGGATAACAAAGAGAGAGAAGGATTATGTATGTGCTATCAGACATACATATAAAAGATCAAACCTATTTATATATACATACATGTGTATATAAATGCTTACTTAGGTTGACATGTGAGCCATCCCCTTCTTGGCGCAGCTGCCTTAACAAATTATAAATAAACTCTGCTCCCGAGCGGAAATCCGAGCTATTTATAAATATTTTAGGTTAGTTTTTGTGCAGCTGTAACTGTAAAAATGCGCGGCTCAGCTGAATTTTCAGTTGCATTTGAAGCGCGTTTGGCAGCGGTTTTAAAAAATTCCAATTTCCAAAAGGGAAAACAAGCAAAGAAAAATGGATGCATTTACACGCACTTTTCATAAAACTTTTCGCACAACAACTACAACAAAAACCAGCCCAAGGTCTCAAATTTATGATTTGTATCTAACCTCTTTAATTTGATATGTTACCTTTTTTTTCGTGTAATTATTCTCAACTAATTCTGGTTTTCCCAAAAATTATGCTTGCAGCTCAACGACAAACTCGGCGCTGCCCTCACGCGTGCCCAAGCAACAGAATTATGTGTCGGACATTAGCTCGCCTTTGATTCAGGTACGTTCTATAATATCTATACAAATGTCGCCATATCATCTAATAAATTTGCTTTCCTGCAGGATGAGGGCGACAACAAAGTGCTGAAGCTGCGCTTCGATGTCAGCCAATATGCGCCCGAGGAGATTGTCGTCAAAACTGTCGATCAGAAGCTGCTTGTAAGCCTAACTATAAATAAAATATATTTTTATATATGTATATATACATTTGAGGGGCAGTTCTGACAGTTGTGTGCACTTAAAAGCTAACACTGAACCCATTGAAAATGGCTAAGAAGAAGTCCGACAGGCAAAGGGAGACTTTATTGGTTCCTATCAAAAGCCGATTCGAACTAGTCATATCTTAGTTTGTCTGAGAAAGACTTTATCTGCTAAATATCGATATCGATAACATGCCTCCGCTTCCATAAAATCGTTATCGAAATCCTTTTTTCAAAGCTTAAAAGAGCTAGAGACAGCAAACTTGGCATATAGACTATATATATATTAAAAATCGGACTGTAAGCACCGAAGTTCATCAGAGTCTTCTCTCAGTCTGTTACATACATTTGCACCAAACCAAAATACCCTTTTTACCAATTTTTAAGAGGTATTTTGCGTGTCTAGAGAAATGTACTCGCTGGAACTGCCCATTATTGTATATATATATATATGTATTATAAAATCCCATAACATATTTCAACTGAATAATAATTTGGTTTTTCTGCTTGTTTCCAGGTGCATGCCAAGCACGAGGAGAAATCAGACACAAAGAGCGTTTACAGGGAATACAATCGCGAATTTCTGCTGCCCAAGGGCGTTAATCCCGAGTCGATACGCTCGTCCCTCAGCAAGGATGGTGTCCTGACCGTGGACGCGCCCTTGCCAGCGCTCACTGCCGGCGAAACCTTGATACCCATTGCGCACAAGTGAACAGCCAGAGACGTTCCCGCCACCCCCATCCCTGAGAGCAGCACGGGCAGCATCTTCTCCAGCAATAAAGCCCGCAATAAACACACAATATATCAACCTATCCGCAACAGATGCCCAGCGTATTTCTAGCACCATACTAAAAAAAAAAAAGAAGAAAATCACCGCAGTTTCCCAAAGTTGACTTTGGGCTCAACAAAATAGAATTCAGAATTGGCCTAAATAATTACACTATGTTTTTTTTTTTTTTCGTTTTTGCTAAAATATATAAATACTGACTTACTACTCATACTTAACTGTAATAACTTAAGTGTAATGCAAATTATTATTAAATTTGATTAATTTAATTCATATTTATAAATCACGCAATTAAATGTTATTATTTTCTTGTCGTACTATTGCCTGTTTTATATCTCGTTGGTTTCAAGGGAAGGCCTATAATTATTATATAGTTTCAATGCACTTTCAAAGAATACGAAATCGGCTTGAAGCTATCCTGGCTGGCAAGCCCAACAGAACTTTTCGCTGGTTCAAATCACGCTTCGAACCAACGTCTCGCCGAACGTCGAACCAAACCCAAGTTTTCGGCTTATCTAGCTTTTTTTTCTCTAGTTATACCTAAAAAGCCAAGTCGGAACGAAGTATGGGCAGGAACTATATAAATACCTAATGGGCTGTTGCTGAGATGTTTTTATCAGCTTGTTACAAACAATTTCTCAAACATTTTATATACAAGAAAATGTTGTTGCCATATTTATCTGGAGGCCAAGCCATGAAGAAAGAGTCAAATATCGTGAAAATCGGATGAGATTTGACCTATTTATGTGTTGGGAAAATTCGACCTATGTGTATATAGGATCATAGAGGGCATAGCCCGGCCTTGGCCGTGGCACGTTTAAGATAAATTCTTGTACAAATCTTTGAAAATAAGTTTTAACACGATCGGAAGGTAAGCAAACAAAGTTTCACACGTACGATTTTCGCGATTTTTCCACACAAGCGGGTGGAATTGCCTGAAATCTACAGTGGAAATTACAGCTTAATACCTAAGTCGGGACAAATAAAGCTTAAATTTTGTTTAACGAGGCAAAAGTAAACCAAAAACCGAATCAATTGCAGAGAAGTCTTGCAGCTTTTAAGATTGTTTCCTAAGGCTACGCTGGCTAAAGAACAGCTCTAGAGCTGTACGAATCTCTGATCAGGTGAAACTCTTGAGTAATTTGTGTTTTATATTTGTGCCTAGTTGAAGCACAGCTCGTTTACGGCCCGTTGCTATTCTTGCACCTGGAAGGTAACATTAGTTACTATCAGATTAAATTGATATACTCTTTATACTTAGCTGTCCAGATGCCTTTGGGTCTAGTGTCAAACTGTGCACTGGCTGGGTCGTCAATATCTAAAATATAAATCGTAACATACTGAGACACAGTTTATTTATTTTTTTCTCTTTTTTTAGGTAACTCGGAACGTTGGAAAATAATTTTGGGCGCTGTTACCGTAGTCAAGATCCATATACTGGCATAGTTATGAGCAAACGTTATTTTGGAACGGTGCGACGTGAAGGAGCATGTTGAAGAGCTAGCTGGCCCGCTCTGAGCAGTGTTTGGGCCGCATATCAATATATATATATAGCTGTACGCCTCCGATACGTACGCCTGGGTATGTACGTCACAATGTTGTACACTTTTGCACATTTTACATTAAACATTAAAAAAAAAATATATATATTTATATATATAATAATAATAATAAATCATATTTATAATAACCTTTTTTTCATTTCCTCGTATGACCCCTGTGAATGTAGGTAACTAGCAAAAATGCAAGAGGAGCCAGAGCTAAAGCACGAGCCGCTCGATGTGGACAGCGATCCGTTGCGTCTGCCGACATCGCTGCTAATTGAGGATCCCCGATATCGCATTCGGCCCATGCAGCAGGTGATATCGGCTTTAGTTGGCGGACTGATTACAACATTTGTGGGTGAGTAGCAAGCGGACAAATGCGCTGTTATACGTATTCTAGCGGATGCAGTGGCATTTCCCCAGTGACGCCGCTTGAGGTGGTTAAGACGCGGGTGCAGACCCAGACGCAAAGCCAGTCGCGCAAGCGTCCGGTTGTCTCCAAGCTCTGCTATGTCTTTCACAATGGCCTCATGACGCACGTGTGCAAGCCGAATGCCACCGACTGCATGGCCAAGAGTGCGGCGATGGATGCAGCCAATATGCGTCCACTGCGCGGCGCCATGGTAGGTGATAGTATAGTCCAACGATCGTGACTGATTTTCCTGATCTTTGGCAGGATGCTTTTCTCAAAATCATTTGCGGCAACGGCGTATTTGGTCTTTGGTCGGGCCTGAGTCCCACGCTTGTCTCAGCGCTGCCATCGACCATTATCTACTTTTTAACATACGAGTATCTGAAGCATTCGTTTGCGAATCTATATTACATATGGCATCCGCGTCCATCCAACATTGCCGACAATCGCGACAAGGAGAAGCTGGTCAAGACAGCAGCTGAGGGACGTCTAACTCTGCCGTCTGTGGTGCCTATGGCATCGGGCGTCTGTGCGCGCACGGTTGTTGTTACGGCCATAACGCCGCTAGAGATGATTCGCATTAAGATGCAGTCGGGCTACATAACGTATACGGAACTGTGGATTGTGCTGCGCTCGCTGATCAAGTCGCAGGGAGTGCTGGGATTGTGGCGTGGCTGGCCGCCCACTGTCATGCGAGATGCTCCCTTCTCGGGCACCTATTGGGCTGCCTACGAGTCCATGAAGCGTGCCTGCAATGTGACGGAGCCAACGTTTTGGTTCAGCTTTGTGACGGGCGCAGCCTCCGGCGCGGTGGGTTTATATTGCATTCAATCCCTGCCTGTCATTTATCTGCAATACAATTTGATTTTATTTGATTTCCAGTTGGCCACCTTGGTGACAATGCCCTTCGATTTAATTACCACACATACGCAAATTGAACTGGGACAGGATGTGCTATACTCCGATTCATCTGGATCGGGCAAAGGCGGCACTGGTGGTTCCGCAACCACGGCTGCCACCGCATCGGCTCCGGCCAAACAGTCGGTGTTTACACGCTTAAGCATGATATATCGCCAGCAGGGTATACGGGGGCTCTATGTTGGCGTTATACCAAGGATGCTACGAGTTGTGCCAGCCTGTGCCATTATGATATCGGCATTTGAGTACAGTAAATCGTTCTTCTTTCGCTATAATCTTGATTTAAAGGATACCGGTATGTAGCATAACGGAACTCTTTTCATTCTAACACCGCGATTAGCTTTTGTATCGATAGACTTTCTTAAGCCACAACACATACATATCGATAAGTTAACGCATACCGATACATACTGGCATTTATCGAAAAAATATTGGCAATAAGCTGTATACACTTCATATATTCTCAAAGCAACTACATATGACATGATTATGATACTATGGTAAGCTTTAACGTACTAGAGTTGTTGAAACAACACAACACCAGAATTGCGTGCACAATTAATAAGTGAAAATGCCAGATCTTATGTGCAAACAGCTAAATTGGCAACACTGATGGCACCAGCTGTTGCATCGATAGTACTGCTCAACTATCGATATGTTTAAAATAAACACATTGCACGCACACACACAAACAGGCGCACACACTCACACATTAACGTGGGCAAACAGTTTTTTTTTTTTTTGTATTTATCAGGGGCTTAAAAGTCCTACCTATTAAATGACAATAAACACGCGCAAAGAGTCCGCACATATAAACTAAATCTTCACACTAGGTTACGGACGTGCTAATTAAAGCGTCAAACAGAAAGTTCCAGAGTACAAGATGAAACCCAGCGCAACCATGCCGGAGGCCAAATATGAGACCCCGGCGAACCAGACAACACAGGCCAAGTATACAATGATAGATCCCAGATTTCGCATACGTCCTATGCAGCAGGTAGTGTCCGCCTGCACGGGTGCCATGATAACAGCCTGCTTTAGTAAGTGATATACATACATATGTATATATATAAATATCTAATTCTATCTATCTATTTCATCACAATCTGTGCGCATTGCAGTGACGCCTTTGGACGTAATCAAGACCCGTTTGCAGGCACAACAATCGGCACTGCTGTCCAATAAATGTTTCCTATATTGCAACGGCCTCATGGATCACATATGTCCTTGCGGTCCGAACACGCCCCCGCCCACTTCTAGTCATGCATTTACCAAGCTCTCGCCTGCTTCTGCCTCCTCCTCCTCCTCCTCCTCCCACTTTACGGGCACCATTGTGAGTCGATATTGAATCTATAAATTGAGCTTCTAACTGATTTTTTTTTTTTGTACCGCACAGGATGCATTCATTAAAATTAGCCGCACTGAAGGCATCGGGTCACTCTGGTCTGGCTTGAGTCCGACGCTCATCTCGGCCTTGCCCTCAACCATTATATACTTTGTGGCCTACGAACAGTTCAAGGCACGTTTCACCGATCTGCACTACAAGTACCTGGCGCCAGTACAGAGTTCACCATATAGTCGGGACATTCCAATGCTGGTGCCATTACTGGCGGGCGTTACGGCCCGCATACTGGCTGTGACCTTTGTTAGCCCCATTGAGATGATACGCACCAAAATGCAATCGCAAAGGATGACTAACGCCGAAATGATCGGCTCCATACGACAGGTGATGCAGTCGCAGGGTATTTTGGGTCTATGGCGCGGCCTGCCGCCCACCATACTCCGCGATGTGCCCTTCTCTGGTATTTATTGGACCTGTTACGAATATCTCAAGAGCAGCTTTAATGTCGTCGAGCCCACGTTTGGCTTTAGTTTTGTCGCCGGTGCCATTTCAGGCTCTGTAAGTCTTTACCTAAAAACCAATCACTGAATATATTTTTTTAGCGTCCATTTGCTTGTCCAGGTGGCTGCATCGATAACCACGCCATTTGATGTAATTAAGACGCATGAGCAAATCGAGTTCGGTGAGAAATTCATATTTACAGGTAGGCCACTTGCTTTACCGCCCGTCGCACCCAGATCCACTAATGATAAGATTATTTGCCCCACACTAGATAATCCGCCCAAGAGTACGCCGACCAGGTCAGTCATGGATCGTATGGCAAGCATTTATCGCTTGAATGGGCTGCGGGGCGTATTTTCAGGACTCGGACCGCGTTTGTTTAAAGTGGCGCCAGCCTGCGCGATCATGATATCAACATTCGAGCATAGCAAGGCTTTCTTCTATCATTACAATGTTGACCAGCATAATCAGGCGCTGTTGGCCATAAATAGTGCAACAAAAGCGAATACGACCTCAACATATGATACGAGGGCAAAGGACTAGATGGACTGGAAGTGGCTCGACTTGCTTTCCGTGTGCCTGTAAATATGTAAATTAATACCAAAGTTAAAAAAACAAAACAAAAAACAAAAAAAAAAAAAAAACAAACCAAAATCGCTGGGTTACAACAATTTACACAGTTTGAGATTCGAAGCCTTTGTAAAATTGATGAGTAAAATAAATTTGTTTTTTTTTAAATAAACCGAAATTTTTTTAAAAAATTCGAAATTGGCGCCACATCGATAACATGCGCGTATCGCCAGCAATCGATGGACACAAAAAAAAAAATTAAGGTACAAAATGGGCTGAGCTTAACAAGAAGCGAAACACTTTGCTGAACTTTTTAGCTTCATTCATTTGTTTAAAAAATGAATCAAAATTTGTGCCAATGTTGCCCAACCATATTTTTTTTTGACAACTTTAAAATGAATAAACGCCAAATCTGGCGGGCAAATGGCTAAATGGGCAGCATTGCACAACAAGCTACTTCGATAACTGCGCATATGTTCTTTTCGATGTTATCGATAAGTATGCATATGTTCATGTCGCTGTTATCGATAGCACCAAAAACACGTGCTGTCATACAGTGTTTTGTTTTAGTTTGTGATTCTAAATAACGACAGACCATGGATAATCCAGACACCATTGACATTGATGTAGATGTGGCAGATAAGTCAACTGATTTGGCGCCGACTGAAGACAAGGCTGTTCAGGCAGACACTGCAGCAGCGATTACAGAGAAGAATGCATCTAAATCTAAGAAAAATAAAAACCCACAACACAAGCCAAAGCCACGCCCAAAAAGGTGGTCAAGCCCGAGGCAAGTATACCGCGCGGTCAACCCAAATCCAATCGGCCCTGGAAGACGCCCAAGCAAAAGTAAGTCCGACCACATCCAACTCCTTAACATGTCCACAGCCTAATCCGCCGCTGTTCTACATCATCGACAGATTCAGCAACATCAAGAAGACGGTGAACCGTCTCTCATTTGAGAAGAAAGTGGCGCTGCGCAACGAGATGCGCTACATCAAGGAGAAATCCAAAGAGATCAAGGATCAGCGTAAAGAAGCCGCCGTCCAGCGTCATCAGCGACGCGTCGAGAACGCAGAGCGCCGGTTGGCCAATGAGCGTCGCTCCGAAATAGTCCAAGTCATCAAGAATCCGGCCAAGCTGAAGCGTATGAAGAAGAAGCAGATGCGCATGATCGAGAAACGGGATCTTAGCCAAGTTAAAGTGGTCTAACTTCAGAAATACCTTAGCTTACGTTTACTTATTTTTTTGCACCCTAAATAAATCTAGTTTTGTAATGTGATGGAAACGTGACGTCTCTATTGGAGGAGACATCTGGCATATGTTTTTCTGATCCATATGATCGAGTAGACCAGTTAATTAAGATTAGAAATGCCAGTCTAAATTGCCTTCACAATAAATTCTTACTTATAAGCAAGGCATGAACATCTATGACTTAATTGAATTCATGAGATTCGCATAGTAAGGCAGTTTTTAAAAGTAGGTTTAACAAGTGCTTCTTAATGTTTTTAGAATATGTTACAGATCAATTTGTTTTCCTTTTTTGTTTAATGTACTACACTGTAGAAATTATGTAAATATGTACATACGAACAGTTTAAAGCTTATTTTCCTTTAGACTAGCTTAACAAATTAACATAGTATTCCAAGTTAAGATTAGAAAAGTCTGTCTGCCTGTTGCGCATATCAAGGCGAAATTTTGCCAAAATCTGTTTGCGTTGTCCGTTCAAAGCGTGGCCCCCGATACGTTTCTGTTGATGTTCTTCGATGGCATCCATGCAGATCTGAATGCGCGCCCGCAGCAGCAGGTCCAGCTGATGCACCAGCGATTGCACCTGCGGCTGTTTCACGCTCACCAAAGACGTGCCAACTAGCTGGCTCTCGAGTAAGGATCGAATAAACCCGTTGATAATGTGCGCTGCCGCAGCATAGTCTGTGCTGGTTAGTGTTAGGCTTAATCTCTCCCAGCCGTTGGCTGTCGCACTGGGTGGCTCGAGACGCGTTTGCATTTGCCGTATGACAGCTGGCGGCACGCCGGCTGCACCACGTGCCACATTGCCCTGGAGACATGCGTCCAGGCTGCTGGCCACATGAAGCTGTGCATACAGGCAGTTTTGGCTACGACACAACTGATAAAGCTTATTGCGCATGCTGCGATAATAATGATTATCATCGCAAACAATTAGATAGTTGTCGTTGCCAATGGCTGTTGTTGTTGTTGTTCCACCTCGCACCATGGCAGGCAGCTCAGTGGCCCCCGCTTGAAGTTCCGCAATGAGCTGTGTCAACAGTTTGTGTATTAGCTTGCGCTGCGTTTTATAGTCTGTGTGGTCTTTAGGTCCTATGTTAAAATGGTCGTCGTAGCACAGATGCATCACATTCCAGCCGGTAAGAGATGTGGGTTGTTCCAGCAGCCAGTTGCTAAGGCGTGTCTTGCCAGCGCCCGGCAGCCCGATTAGCGCAAGCAGACAAATGCGCGGCATTTACAGTGAGTGAGGGTGTGTGTGTGTGTGCTGTGTATTAGATCTCTGTCTGTGTGTGTGTGTGTTGGTTGCTGCTTAACTATCTAATATTGAAAAGAGGAGCTGCGGCATGGCATTCCAATCTGCTTGCGCTTGCTGCTGCTACATGGACAGCTTGGCTGGCGTCAGCACAGCTGTGGCAGCGACGGCAGCGACTTCTTTCTCTTTGAGCTGCTCCTTGATGCGTTCCTCCTGTTGGTGTTGCTCCAATTGTTTGGCGTTCTGTTCCACTTCCTCCATGCGTTTGGCATTAATTTTTGTTTGCACATCCACATAGGATTTCATCATGTTTTGATTGAAGCGCGCAAATTTGGTCACACATCTGTCCACGCAGACGCTCTATTTCGTTTTAATTATTAAGCACTTAAGTAAATATAAAGAAGCATATATTTGGTCACGCTCACCTCCTGGTCGAACAGTTCGCGCTGACTGAGATTATCAACGCAGCGATTGAAGCACAACTCGGTGACTTTGTTGTATAATGTGAGAAAATCTTTTAGCTGCAATGCGTAGATTTGTATGAATTAAAAGTGGCGCATTTGCTGACATTAGGCATACGTTACGCAAATTCGAATCCATTGGTCAATACAAATTTTAAAAGTCGATCTCAAAACGTTAACTAATATTAATTTATTAGTGCTTTTTTGTGGAAACCGACAGCAGGCAACAGCTGACTTGCTGTTTATTTGACAAGTGTTAATCGGCGTTTTAACTATCGATTATCACGAATACAGCTATGCAACTATCGATTGTGCGAATGCCACATGTGGTCCACATGTGAACAATCGCTTAGTGATGGAAGGAAGCTCAGCAACTTTCGCGACTTATCGCTTTGATTTCGATTAACTTGAAACAATTTAACGATAGCACAGATACAAAGCGCCATATTCAAAAAAAGCTTCATTTATCTATTAGGCTGTTAATTTCAGTCACGTATTTGTACACATATATAAACTATATATTTATGTAAACAAACATAATGTTTTTGATTTTTTTCAAAAGTTAAATAATTCAAAACTCTAAACTAAAATTACAAACAGTAATTGTTTAACCTTCATAGCCAACATCTTCATCTGTGTACATTTTTATTGGCTGTCCGGCTGTTTCATTCACAGTCTCCATCATCTCAACATCACGGCAATTGGCCGCCTGCAGCTCCCGTCTGATATCCGCGGTAATCTTTGGATGAGATTTCTTTTCTGCAATTTCATAATTTCAATTACTCTGACTGCTGTTTTCTATCAAGACTTCACTCACTTTAAAAGCTGAAGCAGCGCATCCTTTTGGTCCGACGAGATGTCATTCTTATAGCGCTGTGCAAAGGTGAGTAGACTTTGATGCCATAGCACGGCAACTCACGCTTATCGTTCTCAAATCTGCAAATATCGAGGAAGGTTATTAATGCAGATGAGATAGAGTTTGGGTTCGGCTAACCTTAGAAAATGAAAGACGGGCCGCGTCGATGACACGATACGCAGAGCATAGCGTTTGTCCAGGAAATAGCGTATGAATATCGAATTGGCACCGGAATAGCTCATTTCACAGATCTTCAGCAGCATGCGGACGAGTGCAGCACGGGTATGGAGCTACGGGCCACAACGCTGCCAAATATGATGGCCTCACGCAATGTACAATCTCCGGACTCCAGCAGTGGCAGTATGATGCCCTTCATAAAGGCGGCCGGCTTGAAGAGAGCGCGTTTTAGTGCATTATACAAGTGCATATTGAGCTTTTATATTCGCACAGATCATCGCGAACGCGCGGCAAGAGCACCAGGTTATAGAAACGCTGGGCCATCGCTTGAGACAGCACCGAGCAGAAGATGCGTGTGCCTTGGAACATGGCAGCAGCGCTCCAGTTGTGCGGCTCCGTTATGAACAATATCTGCTCCCAGTTCCTAAGCTTGGGTATGATCTTGAAGGCTTTTGGAATCTTGCCGCTGCGATAGCGCTTGAGCACTTCCCGGACACCCTCATACATTTCCTTAACCTTGGGATCGATTCCTAGATTTTCAGCGAGCCCTCATCGGAGATTTTTGTGTGTATATCCGCGCCCTTCTCTTGGATCTTTTGCATTATTATCTCAGACAGATGTAATGTGCGTTTGCCCTCCTTGGTGGCGGCTGTTGGAAGCGTTCGAAGGCAGCGACATCATCATCATCCATGTCCAGGTCGGCCATGAAATCGTTTTCGTTGACATCTTCCTTTTCCTGCTCCACGTCATCGTCTATATTGTGCATAGAGTTATTAACAAATGGGGGAATATCAACTTTTAATTCTATATACGCGATATAACATACTCAAATTGAATTTAACATTCCTGCGGGGCGCTAAGCTTGGGAAGTTTTCCTCGTCCAGCTCCAGTTGCTGTTGTCTGGCTGCTGCCAAGATCTTTTGACTGCTTTTCGCGTCTATATTCTATAATTAATGATAGCGAATGGATTATTATTTTATTTCTTAGGTTGATTAATTTACCGGTGACTCCTCTGCACGTAGTTTAACCTTCTCCTTGTTCTTTGCTTTGGGACACTTTGCCCTCTGTGATTTGCTTTTCCAAGTTCACTGTTTTAATAGTCGCCACATTTGCCTTCTTCGGTTTGCCATTTTTTGTGTATTTTTAAATAAGGTTTTCAATAACAAAACTGAGCACAGCACGTGTTGTAATCGTGTTTATCGTGGGGAGGCAGGCACCCTGTTCTATAATGCCAGCGCATGGTCACTCATATTTTTGACAGCTGTTATTTCCATGTATGCACTGGAACATATCGATGAGGAAAATACGTTAGTGATGAGTGATATGATGTGTTTTTGTTATTGTTTATGCGGCAGAAAACTATTTACACGGATTTAAATAAATATTAAGTGAAACACTGGAGCACACCTAGCCGTATAGATGGACAGAAACCGGCTTTTAACTTTTGGTTTATGTTAAATTGGTATCGATTACTTGTTTTTAATCATATCGATTGCGTTCGATATATCAATGGCTGCTGCATCCCTATTTCCTTTTCCTTACCTAGCTGGGTTTTGACAAGACCGATTCTTTTTTTTTCTGTGTTGATTGCAGCAAGACCGACATAATGAAGGTGTGCAAAAATTTTGTGAAAAATATTATAACAAACGTTGTAAACATCTAAAAATATTGATAAAAAACAACTGCAATTAACAATAAACTAGTGCAAAAATCAAGCGTTGCATGAAAAACTCAACTGATTGGCCTTAAAATAAAAGATAACAATTCTGATAATTTGTATATATATATATGTATGTGTGAACTAAACAAAAACTTCGTGTTTACTTGCAGCTCAACGTTTCTTATCCCGCTACGGGATGCCAAAAGCTGTTCGAAGTTGTCGATGAGCACAAACTGCGTGTGTTCTACGAGAAGCGTATGGGCCAAGTTGTGGAAGCCGATATTCTGGGTTGATGAATGGAAGGGCTATCAGCTGCGCATCGCTGGCGGTAACGACAAGCAGGGCTTCCCCATGAAGCAGGGTGTGCTCACTCACGGTAAGTTAATTAAGTTAATCAATTTGAATAGAATTTTACTTTCTCTGTTATACGGATTTGTTGTCGTTGTTGTGCAGGTCGTGTGCGTCTCCTGTTGAAGAAGGGACACTCCTGCTACCGTCCACGCCGCACCGGTGAGCGCAAGCGCAAGTCTGTGCGTGGCTGCATTGTCGATGCCAATATGTCCGTGCTGGCTTTGGTTGTCATCAAGAAGGGCGAGCAAGATATTGCCGGTCTGACAGACACAACAATTCCACGTCGTTTGGGCCCCAAGCGTGCCAGCAAGATCCGTAAGCTGTACAACTTGACCAAGGAGGATGATGTCCGTCGCTTCGTTGTGCGCCGCCCATTGCCCGCCAAGGAGAACAAGAAGGCACCTCCAAGGCACCAAAAATTCAGCGTCTCATCACGCCCGTGGTGCTGCAGCGCAAACACAGACGCATTGCTCTGAAGAAGAGAAGCGCCAGCAAGCATCCAAGGAGGCTGCTGCCGATTATGCTAAGCTTCTGGTTCAGCGCAAGAAGGAGTCCAAGGCTAAGCGCGAGGAGGCCAAGCGTCGCCGTTCCGCCTCGATCCGTGAATCGAAGAGCTCTGTTTCAAGTGACAAGAAGTAAATGTGAAATGGCCGCCAACAACTGCTAAACATCTACCCAAAATCGTATAAGAAACAAATTTGTAGCCATTTGTTAATAAATCGTGAATGGTCAAAAGATATACCTAAGTCAAACACATCTTTTTTTCTTGTGAATTCTTGTGTTTAACCTTAAAGAGATGCCTCTTTATGAGAATGTGCTTAAGTGAAAGTTATGCCATGCGCAGGAAGCTACAATCGAAAGAAACTGCAGGTATGGAGTGGAATTTCTATGCGGAATCAATCCTGAAACCAATCCCCAGTAAAATGCGCATTATGAGAAATAGAAGACATATGCAACGTGAGGATCCCGGTATAAGGGTTTGATGTCTTCGCCATGTCGATCTGTCTGCCCCTGTGCTAGCAAGGCATTCACTTCATCTTGACAAATCAAAGTTCTTGCTTCATATATAAAATTTCCAAGTCGGCCGGCTCAAATCCCTATAGCTAATTCTATAGAAACTATTAAATAACCTATTTCTTTTCAAATGTCAGAGAAGATTAACATATATTATAGATTATATTATGTGATTATCATGACTACCAGGACTTAGGTCTCGTAGGAGTTCAGGAGATGGTCCCCCTGTAGGCTAAGGCTTCTTTTTGTTGTTGAAATCCTTGGCTGCACAGTGCATTCACATGGAACATATTCCAACTTCTGCAACCTGTCTTCACAGAATCTGCTCGAATCGACAACAGATAGATTACAATTTATGGAGCTGCCCGAGGAGATACCCTATTAAGTTGCGTATGCTATTCTTTTCGAGATTGAGAAGGTGCCTGGAGCGTCTGTTATCGGGGCTGAGGAACCTAATGGCTTGGCTTTGCAGTGTCGATCCTGCGCCTGTTCCTATTTTCGCCAGCTCCGATCTGTGTCCTTTCGAGAGGCAGCAAACAAGATCCAACATCACCCCTTTCAGCTTCATCTGAGTTACAATTAAATCAATAGAACATGATTACAATTAAATGATGTTTATATAATATAATGCATCGTTATTTATTTGACATGCGCTTGCGATTTCCACAACATTGAAACATTTTATAAAACAGAACGAACATATTCCACGAATCTCTCTTCTATTTCGTGTGGAATTCGCACTCGCACACGCACACACACACGTACAGAACACACGCAGGTGTGCATGTGTGTGTAACTACACAAATTTATTACAATTTTAGAAACATTTCAAATACATCTGTGAATCTATATATATGCAGTAGGTATATCTATAAAATTGTTGAATAAACAATCAGAATGTATAAGGAGCAGGGGGCAGTTGGCGTTGAGTCGAGCTTTTCGCACAGCCTCTCGAGCAGTTGGCTGGCTGCGCCTTAATACAATCCATATCCGCCATGTTCATATTTTGACGGAACAGGAATAGTATCTGTCGTCTTCGGCGGGGCGAGCGCGGGCGCAGGCGCCGGCTCGGGCTCGGGCGGTGGCGGTGCCTCGCCCGTTGTTGCCGGCGGCTCATAGCGCGCCAGTTTGGCCTCCTGATCTGCCAGCAGCTCAAGCAAATCCTCCTGATCCTTTTGGGTGGC